AAGTAGGGGATGCTGGGGGCGGCGGGGGGGAACCGGTCTGTCGGGGGGTGACGGCCCCATCCGGCGGCCTCGGGGCGCTCGGTTGTTCTTAGGGGGAAAGGTGGGGAAAAGAGGGGAGCGCTGCTGCCCCGCGGGGTGAGGACCCGGGGGGGGGCTGCGTGACACCCCCCCGATCTCGCCTGCTCTGCCCCCGCGGCGTTCGGGGCCCGAGTGCCTTTCTCCTCAGCCCCCGTGTTGCTGTGCTGATTGCTGGGGCCGAAGAAAAATCTCTATTGGTTTTGTAGTTTCCCACCCAAACCCATATCGATTATCTCTACAGGAAATGAGACTAAAGTCACGTGGTTTGCGGCTCTTCATGTCCCAAAATATTGGGGAGAGTGTTATATCAGCCATGCTCTGTACCTTGTTTGTACATTCCCGTTATGGATTTGAGTGTTGGAGGAGGGGGAGCAGGAGGAAAACGGCTGTGGCCAGGTCGAGGTACGGCCATGTGGTGACTGGGACGGTTGGGGATGTGTACAAACATTAATAATCCTTTTGCGCTCTGGAACTGCTCATGTTTGGGAAGATGATGCGGGGCTCCATGTTGGAAAGTTGCAGCAGGGCTGGGGACTGTCCCTGCATCAGCCTCACACCATCTGGGGATGCCGGCACTGGGACTTGGGGCGGCTCAAAAGCGCCTAGGCAGGCAAGTGCGGGCTCCTGTGCCTGCTGTGGGGCAGGGGCCAGTCTCCAGCCTGCGGGGGGACCTGCTGTGCTGCCTGCTGCGCTCCCTGGCGCCCTTGAAGGTGTCCTGGGTGCTATGGTCCGGTTGGTGAACCCTCTACCCAGGTTTGCTGCGTCTTTGCCCCAGGCACAGGAAACACATGACTGGGTGTTGTCACCCAGCCTGGGGGAGCCGCATGGTCCACGATGGTGAATGAGGGTCTGTCTGAAGGGTGCATTGGATTTGGGGACCACGAGGGAAGTCACAGTTTCCTGGCTGTCAGGAGGTGCTGGCAGAAAGCTTCCCCAGGGAGGACATGGCCCCCTGTGCCTGGTGCCGGCTGTCGATGTGACAGCTGTGCTGGCAGGCCCTGGGGAGCTGCGGTACTTCTGGTCTATCTCCAGGCGTAGCTGGGATTCCTGCGGTGGGGCCACTTCCCAGTGTCCCCCTTCTTCCCAGGACAGCTTTAGTCTCAGTTCAGGGTGACAACTTGCACCTTTTCTCCTCCCAAAGCTCTGCTGCTCTTGAGTCCCTTAACACCTTCATGGAGCACGCGTTGGTCAGCAGAAGCTGACCGTGGGCAGTGCGTGCGGAGCAGCAAATGCTGTTACAGTAGCTGCTCCCCCGGCCCTGGGGAGCACAGGGAGGCTCCAGGGAGCAACACGGGCAGCGGCAGAGCAGCTGTCAGGCAGGTCTGCAGGCAAAGGGTGTAGGCAAAAGGTGTGTGTGAGTGTGAGGGCTGTTGTGTTCATCTCCTCACTGCTGAGCCGGCTGTTCTGAGATCTGACAGCACAAGAGGAGCTGAAGCTGGGGTGCTGGCGCAGGCTTGGCAATCATCCTGTGGGTGGGAATCATCAGGCAGTTTCTTTTGACGTTTGTCTTATTCTTCGGAGGTTGGCTGATCTGTGGAAAGTTCGTGAGATTGGGCAGAGTGATCTCTAACCCGGCAGTACAGGGCTTCAGCTTTCAGGTGTGTGCAGATGCACCATGGGAGGCTCAGCATCCCTTAAAAATTATATGCGCTCTTCGAGAGTCCTGTGTCTCACTTCCATTTGCAGAGGTGGGAAACGGAGAGATGGGGCTGTCAGCGGAGAAGTGGTGAGTTGGAAGTATCGTGCTTATCACAGGAACGTCCTCAAACAGTGCTGGTGAGGTGTCGGTGGAGAGGGAGAGAGAGCAGGGAGAGCTGGCAGGGTTAAACGAGCTTTCCAGAGAAGGCTGTTGTCTGTCCAGCCTGTTCTGTGATGGGCTCGGGACCAGCTCAGCTCTTGGCGGGGATTGTTGCTCCTTCTTGAGGCGCCAGTAGGTTCCCCGGAGCAGGAAGTGTCCTGGAGCCTGTTGGCATGAGGCACCGATGTCCAGCACTCCTTGAGCAGCTGCCCAGCTCTGGGCCAGTGCCTGTCTCCTCCCACTGCCCTGCATTTTGGGATAGGTTGGGGAAATGGGGCATTAGAAGCACCTTCTGCGCCACTGTTCTTGGGGCAGAGAAAGTGATATCACCCACAGAGGAGGCTGCAGTGCGTTCCACGCACGTATTACTGCTCTAGGGGGTAGTGAGGCGAGGACTTGAGCCTCTGACCTAGCCCTAACCGCAGTGTGGGAGAGGTTGGGCAGGGGCAGCGGGCACGCAGGCAGGGTCAGTGGTTACCTGTGCAGAGCTGGATGTGGCTGCAGCGGTGGCAGCCAGTGCTCCGTGTGGGAGCAGGAGGAGATCTCTTGGTCCCTTCGAACTGGACTGTGACTTGGGCTCCGCAGCTGTGGCTTCTCGGCAGCCGGCCTGGCTGTGTTCCCCTTGCTGTCCCTGCTGCAGACGTGCTGGGACGTGCTGCCTCTGGGTTCGGGGTTGACACCGTGTGCGGAGCTGGAGTTGCCAAAGGGCGGGTATGTGGCTGAGCCAGTTCTGCTCTCCCAACCGGCAGTGGTTATGCTGGTCAGACCAGTGCTGCCCTCCCTGGCTCTCACCGCACCTCTTTCCTGAGCACTTCCCTTTGATATTTGGAATGGCATTTGGAACGGCTGGGCTCTTTCTGGGTGCTCTCAGCGCTGGCTGGAGGCAGGCGTGTGCCAGGGGAGCTGGATGGCGAGCTCTCTGGGTCAGTGGGACTTGTCTTAATGATTAAAACTGTTGTTCTCGCCTGTTCAGCTCCAGCTGCCCTTCCTCCCGCAGCCCCTGTTACTGCTCCTGTGGCATCGCCAGGTACTCCGGACCCTCCTCGTTAACACCTCGTGTGTCACATTAACCCGAGTTTGCTGTTCTGGGTGGTTGCAGTTACATTAACCCTAACAGCTTGCACAGGGGAGTGCAGGTCCTGTCCCCTCGGTGTGGGTGAGCCACACCACCCCCTGTGCCTTGGTGTCCTTGTCCCCGAAGGGCCCCTGCCTGCCAGGAAGGTCTGCCTGTGTCATACCGGGGCTGCCCTCTGCCAGAGCATGACTGCCAGAGCGCTCCTGGAACAGTTATGCATGCCAATGTGTTAAATTTGACTTTTGCTTCCCATCCTTGTGGGTGGGTTGCCATCACCCCCCTGCTCTCGTCAGCCCGAGATGCGATTTCGCAGGCTCAGGAGCAGCGCCGGGGGTCTGGCCGGACCTTCAGGGTCCACAAAGGTTGTGGCAACCCCTTTGTTAGGGAAGAGCTGAGCACAAAGCTGGCAGCAAAGCCTGGCTCCTGCCCTGGCCCACTGAGGTTTCCTGGCCTTTCAGGTGTCACCTCCTGCCATGCCAGGGATTGTAAACAAGGAAACCTGGGGTGGCACTACTGATCCTGGCATTGGGTTTTTTCTTCTGTCACTTGTGCCCATCAGCTAGCTCTCGTGCCAGCACAGTGTCCTCTATAAAATCAGTGCCGGTTTTTAGAGGCAGATGAACGTCCCGCTCTGCGCTGGGCCTGGCAGGTCAGGCGGACGTTTGTCTGCTGCTCTAGAAGCTGGCACAAAGGCGGGGGGAAGGCCAGGGCCGGCTGTGCCGGGCATGCTGCCGTCTCCTGGCTTCCCCTCCCTCTCCCTTCTCTCATCGGTTCACTCTGTTTCTCTCCTTTAGCTGTTCTTCATGCTGCTCATTCCCCACCTCTGACTCCGTCTCCGGGCCCTGCAGGCCAGGCTCTCCCAGCGGAGCCGCCCAGCCCTGCCGGCCTCCCCGTCCCCGTTTCTCCCCCTGTGGTCCCAGCTGCGGCAATCCCCGTGTTTTCTGTCCCCCCCCAGCTCCCTGCCCCACCTCTGCAGGTCCCAGTTACCACTTTCCCTCCTCTGGTTCCGCAGTCCCC